AGCCCCCCCCCCCCCCCAGAAAATCCGTCTATGATGCACACTCATGCAATTAAGACAAGTACATAATTGTAACATGTGCTGTACTAAATGAAGAAATAAATAGTTTGTACATTCACTTGGCCAACTTTGTGAGTAATTTTTCATTAAAATTAATGCAACAATAAAACAAAAATATGTCTATTTATGTACATATTGATCAAAGGCTCCCCCGAGACGAAACACAGTCTGCGAACCTGAGAGAGAATTCTATTTCACCAATCAGAAATCGCCTACAGAAAATGGTAAGATAGCCCGCGGGACATTTATGTGGCAATTATATGGCATCGCGGGACAGACGCGTGAATTATATCATGTCTGATTATCACAATATTATATTAAAAGCGATATGGAGACTGTGTTTGAAAAACTTTGCAAGGTTTTTGGTTTTCAAAGATTGAATAAATTCCAAATTGAGGCGATTACACATATTTTAGAGAAAGGGATTGATATTTTTGTCAATCTTCCAACGGGATACGGCAAATCTGTAATCGATCGTTCTTGTAGTCTCACTGTCTCACCCGAGGTGTCACTACCTTAATAATATAAGTCTTATGAAAGATCAGGTTGGCAAGTTTGCACGCTTGAATTCATGCAGTATATCTTCTATATTATTGAATGAAATTGCACCAGAACGGTAAATCCAGTTTTGATTTTACAAAGATTTTTGTTTTGTCTTTTGAATCAATTATTTCTTTCTTACAAATGAAACAATTATGATGTGGATGTAATATTTTTGTTGGAGTTTCCATCTGATCTTTTACTTAATGATGTATAACCAGTGATAAATATGGCCCTTTCTTATATAATGTATAACCAGTGATAAATATGGCCCTTTCTTTCTGTTTTAAATATCATACCTATTTTTAGATTGTTATTGATTGTATGCAGAAAATCACATGCCATACGAAGTTCACTGTTCACACCCAACTTTAATTAAATTTTAAAAAATTATACAGTACAAATAGTATTGGATATTGCCAAAGTAATACCATTTAACCCTTTAACGCACAGTGTCCGATATATCGGACACCTCGCGACCCCGATCATTATGACCAGTTGTTGCCCTCCTGAGAGTTGCTAGTGTCCCGTATGTTAAATAAACGTGTTTACAACATTGTTGCGAGCATTTTGGTATATTATCCAACTATAAAACGATTTTCAAACGATTTTTATGAGAAAATAAAGATTTGGCTCTTTAAATTGTTGTTGTAATGTGAGTCAACAATGTCTGGAGGACAGGATAAATTTACAACGCATGAAATAATCGATCTTTTGGATCGAAATTATGGCATTCCTTTCGATGGGGAGGGTTCAGACATTTCATCTGAACACTCTGAGGCCAGATATTGATGCTGAACAAGCTGATTTCGATAGTGAATTGGCTGAAATAGGCGAACATACTGAGGTTCTTGACAACCTTCATGCTGTGGAGATTGTTGACGAAGAGGGAACTGTTTCAACAAGCACAGATATCCAATCTCCTCGGGGCAGAATACCATCCTATGATTTTAGTCAAACAGCATGGAAATTGGAAAGGGGGGACTCTGATGATGATGAGATGGAAGCCGAAGATGAGCCAGAGATTCGCCGAGGTGAGTTTCAACAGCAGGTGGGTGCAGTAAACATTCTTCAAAGCACAGCATCAGCCCTTGAATTTTTTTTCCTATTGTTTAGCATGAACATTGTCAATGACATTGTATGTGAAACAAATAAGTATGCGTTTCAATGTCTAACAGCTGCGGGTAAAGAGTCAAATTTATTTGAGCGAATTACTGACACTGAATTGCTAGCATATTTCGGTCTTTGTATTGCCATGTCTATGCACCCTGTTCACAGTATTCGTGACTATTGGTCCCGAGACTGGATATTGGGGGTACCATCATTAGCTCGGATAAGGACTGTTGCTCGCTTCGAGACAATTACACGATACTTGCATGTGAACGACAATTCAAGGATGCCAGCTGGGGGAACTCCTGGCTTTGATAAACTGTTCAAAGTTCGACCATTCCTGGAATCAATTCGTGCAAACTTTCTAACCCAATATGTGCCGCACAAAGAGGTTGCTATTGATGAAGCGATGATCAAGTTCAAAGGCAGAAGTTCCCTAAAACAGTACATGCCCATGAAACCCATCAAAAGGGGGATAAAGATGTGGTGCAGAGCCGATGGCGTCAATGGTTATCTAAATGATTTCGAAATATACACTGGAAAGAGTGGGGATGGGGTAACCAATGATTTAGGCTTTTCCGTTGTCACAAAACTGTGCTCTGTGCTATATGGAAAGTGGCATGAAGTCTATTTTGACAACTTTTTCACATCATTAGAACTTTTGCAGACTTTATTTTGCAATAAAACCCTTTCATGTGGAACTTTGAGATCGGGTCGACGCGGCTTCCTCCAAAGAAATGTATGATAAGAAAGCAAACAACAAGCTTGAAAGGGGTACTTGTGTATTTAGAAGAAAGGGTCCAATTACAGCTGTCACCTGGATTGATAACAACCTGTCAATGTAGTTTCCACACTGGAGGTTGTTTCTGGTGAAGCAACAAAACCGGTGAAGAGAAAAAAAGACGGTGAGCAATAGGATGTACAATGCCCATTGATGATTTCCTCATATAACAAATATATGGGAGGTGTTGATCGAAATGATCAAATGAAGTCATATTATGCCATCAAGTTTAGATCAAGGAAATGGTGGCATAGAGTATTTTTTGAATTGCTTGATCGCTGCGTTGTAAATGGCCATATATTGGAATTGGAGTCGCCAAATCATGAACCGCGAACTTTGAAGGAATTTCGTGTTGAACTCGCAAAGAAACTTATTGGGGATTATACTTCTAGAAAACGACCAGGTCGTCCCTCCATGGAATTAACTGCAAGGCTAACTGAGAGACATTTTCCAAGTCATCTCCCTACCAATGAGAAGGGCAAAGTAAAAGAAAGACGATGTCATGTTTGCTCCACAAAGGATCAACCGAGGAAGACATCCTACTGGTGCGCGGATTGCGGAGTTGGACTGTGCGCGGCTCCATGTTTCCGCATTCACCACACACACCAATAAATCAATTGAACATTGAGGAACACATAAATAGTAGATAGTAGTAACTAAATGCAGCTGAATGGTAGGCTAAGTACATGTAATTGTCAACCAACCTATAATTTGCAACTTTTTTGCAACACACATTGAACGCTGCTTCCCAAAATTTCTGCTAGACCAGAAGTGTTTTGTATAAGTGTTATATACCAAAAGAAAGCTCATTGAATGTACTTTTCAGCAGAATGAACAAAATAATTTTAGGTGTCAAATCATTTTGCCACTCGGTACTTGAAAACTAAACTACTACAATGACAATTGTGGTTACCAAGGAATTGGGAGTGTCCAGTTGCCAGGGTAACATTACAAATGCAAAAAAGTTGCATATTTAAAATCTGTGGTATTTGAGGATCATTTTGATATATAATAAAATGTGTTTATGATAAATATCTTTCACATAGTTTATATTCTTTCGGACCTGTTATAAAAATTGAAATTTTTGAATAATAAATCTGTGCGGCAAAGGGTTAATATTAATAGCTCATTGTCAAATAATCTATTTATTTGTATTTTCATGTTTAAAACATCAATTAGGGTGTGCAAAAAAGAAGGCTATGCAGAAATATAATTACAAAATTATAAACAACCAGAATTTATCTATATACAGGGTGTATCAAAATAAACGCAATTCATCTTTTGTGCTTAATAATGTTCGAAATACTATTTCTAGTTAAACGCTTTTAGGCTTACTTCAAAGCCTGTTCTTTTCTCTTTCAAACAAACTATTATCGTTGTCTCCAATGCTAGTAATAATTGCACAGGAAAAGATTTAGTAAAACCTATCATTTTTAGTTGCTGTTTAATTATGCAAGTTTACTATGTTATTGTTTAGTCGGTTTAAATGTTAGAATTTTCTTCTTTAAACTTTAAGAGGCTGTCTCCGTAAAAACCTCCAGGTCAGTATGGGGCTCAAAAATAGATTTCTTTCATACTCTAGTATTTTGAAGATCTATCCTTGGGAACAACTAAAATCGATGTCATTTTACTCAAATTTCCTTTAAATTATTTGGGGGGGCAATTGATGTTCGATCGACTGGTAACCAACTTGATACTCTGAATGAAGGCCAATATCGACATATTTTCAGCGCTATTTTTAAAATCAAATTCATACCTAAATTTCAAAATTTTTGCTCAGAAATATAGACTTATCCTTCTATTTTCGCGGGTGATATGACTTAGTTCATTATTCTTTGGTATAAAATAGAAAACAGCGCAGTTATTGACCCTCCTGAACGGATAAAGGATACCGTCTCAAAATATGTCAAATTCGAAAGCTTATTTCAAAATCGTGGCACTTGATTGGCACATGACTTTAACTTTTCTATAAACTACTAACATTAGTCAACACAAATCGCCAATAATATCTTTCTGTTCTACCATTTGACAAAAATGACAAGCGCGCAACCTTTGTAAAATTTGAAAATGTGTCGAAATCGAGCATACTTTATCGGTAAACATAATTCTTGATATTAACAAATAAAACCACCTTACACTACACTGAATGAAGCTTGATTATGTAAATATATGTCTTTCATCATTATTCTTTGGTTTTGCACTCGAATGAAATTGTTTGACTGTACAGTTTGGCTTCAAGGATAGTCATTCAATGCCAGTGTGTTCAGTGTGTTCGAATTCTGCGCGACGAATTAATCTCGGGGAAAACTCCTAACCGAAAGAAATGTACTCGCTGAGCGTAAACATGTCAATCAAATGACGATGAAATGTTTCGTTGCTCTCTGATTTCCCTTTCTTTGTATTGAATTAAATAGTAGTCTTAGACAGTATTGCACGAGGTTTTTGTGTTTACAATAATGCTGTTCTACTTCTACTACAGCCGCAACTTGTGATCACGCAACGTTAGGTAAACCTAAACGATTTCGACAGACAGTAGATTTTATGTTGACAGATGAGAATGACGTAAGCAATAATGTAGAAATGTTCCTTTTCTACTTCTGAGTGTGGAAACTTCCGAGACACAGTAGACTGTTCTTCGACGTTGCTGGCGTGTAAGAATGACATTAGTTATCACTTGCAAATTTGTCACCCTTTAAAGCTTGTCGGAAAGAAGAATATAAATTAATTCTAATTTTCAGAACCTTTCTAATTGTTAAGCCTGGTTCACATAAAATCGTTAAGCAGTCGCAGACATGTGCCGAATTTTTATATGAACGATCTGCGACGGATCGGGAAAGTTAAACCAAGTTCAACTTTCCCGATCCGTCGCCGATCCGGTCTCAGACAGTCTGCGCGAATCTGCATTTGTGTTCATATAAAAATTCGGCACATGTCTGCGACTGCTTAACGATTTTATGTGAACCAGGCTTTACTGAAAAAAGGAATAACATTGATTAAATAACTGAGACGTTCAAATGGGTTACAGCTGTTCGCGCTGAATTGTTTTGTATTATATCAAAATATTCGCATATTTTTATACAATAAGAAATAATATAAATTCTTGAAGCATAGCCTTGAGCAAAGTGACCCAGGGTCGGCCTGAAAAAGTTGATTTTTTATACAGAACCGTGACTTACTTGAATTCTGGTTTCATTGATAATTGTTTCTAAACCTAGAGACAATTCAGTTGCTAGAAAACTATACTGAGCGAAACTAACGAAATATTGACATTTGACATCACAGCGAGTATACATTTCTGATTTCTTTCGGCCAGGGCCCGGGGTTTTCCCCGAGATTTAATTCGTACATTCTAACGAAACTTTTATAAAACAGTTTAAAAAGTCTAAAAACGATGAAAATTCTGTCTGTAGTATGACTAATTCTGAGTTTTGCAATTTCATTGAACATTGTTATTTGTTAAACAGGTAAAGGTATTTGTTAAAGAGGTAAACAAAGCGAACAGAGCGAAGATTGTATAGTATGTCACAATCAGGACTCGTGGCATTGAGGCGCGCAGAAGACACTGGACACACTGGCATTGAATGACTCTATCCGTGAAGCCAAACTGTACTCAAACAATTTGATTCAAGCGCCAAACCAAAGAATAATGATGAAAGACATATATTTACGTAGTCAAGCTTCATTCAGTGTAGTGTAAGGTGATTTTATCTGTTAATATCAATAATTATGTTTACCGTTAAAGTATGCTCGATTTCGACACATTTTCAAATTTTACAAAGTTTGCGCGCTTGTCATTTTTGTCAAATGGTAGATCAGAAAGATATTATTGGCGATTTGTGTTGACTAATGTTAGTAGTTTATAGAAAAGTTAAAGTCATGTGCCAATAAAGTGCCACGATTTTGAAATAAGCTTTCGAAGTTGGCATATTTTGAGACGATATCCTTTATCCGTTCAGGAGGGTCAATAACTGCGCTATTTTCTATTTTATACCAAAGAATAATGATCTAAGTCATATCACCCGCGAAAATAGAAGAATAAGTCTATATTTCTGAGCAAAAATTTTGAAATTTAGGTATGAATTTGATTTAAAAAATAGCGCTGAAAATATGTCGATATTTGGCCTTCATTCGGAGTATCAAGCTGGTTACCAGTCGATCGAACATCAATCGCCCCCCAAAATAATTTAAAGGAAATTTGAGTAAAATGACATCGATTTTAGTTGTTCCCAAGGATAGATCTTCAAAATACTAAAGTATGAGAGAAATCTATTTTTGAGCCCCATATTGACCTGGAGGTTTTTACAGAGACAGCCTCTTAATGTTGTCGCCACTACATCTGGAAAACCACGTAAGAACAAATTAAAAGTATTTTAAAGAGACCAGGTTGTTTGAAAATCCTAAACAAATGCTAAAAATCGTCAAAACATTCTGGTGTCTGAGCCAAAGTGTCATCGAATTGCGATGTAATGTAAACAGAAATTATAGCAAGTTGATGTTAGTCAGCTTAGATGCAGGTCCAAGCCAAAATTATATCGCATTTGAAGTTTCAAACTGAGTTAAAAAATAGTGGAAGAAAAGCCGTAATTATACTTATTGTTACAATCCATTTAATAAAATGCAACATTTTTTTGTTTTAATTAAAAAATCAGTTATTTTCATGAGAACGATTTGTTATACCATCTCAATTTTTTTAATCTCCAATCGCAATAACGTAAAGTATTATTACCCGCGAACCAATGAGTCAAATTTAAGAAACAACCCACTGTCAGAAAGTTGAATGGCTACGCTTTAAAATGAATGTAAACTTTAACGTTTTCGTCTATTATTTGTTTAGCAATTTACATTTCAGTCGAGGATTGCGCTTTTTTTGATACACCCTGTATATAATACACCACGGCTTATAAATGGTAATAACCGACTTATCTCCCGAAGGCATAAAGTTCCCATTTGCATGCAAATATTTTCTATAAAAGTCAAAACTACACAATATATACAGTATAAAAGTTAAAACTACACAATAATATTATAATATAACATAAGTTGTTACAAAAATGGAAACCTTAGAAACATTCACAGGTTTAGCAACTGCTTGGCTGTTACAATGTTACCAGCGACACTTGACAGTCGTTCAGAAGCAGATCTTGTACTGCAAATACACAAGCATTTGGATGCAAGTTTAGCCAACGATGGATATGCAGCAGTGTGCATACTCCAACATTGCAACAGATCAGCATCTAGCTCAATTTCGGGTGCAGAAACATACCAAGACATCTGAAGATCGATACAATCAGCAGGAGTTGTTGCATTACCTGGGTCTGATGTTTTTTAACTTGCCCCAAAAGTTTTGCTAGTGATTTTTTCACTTTGCTGGAATCATTGTTCTGCCATCGACCAGCTTCATTTGCAGCATTTCCTGCCTGCTCAACCTCAAACGTCATAATCTCCTCCTTTAATTTCTGTGTGGCATTTCGGCATTCCTCCTCCATGTTGCCACACCCTGCAGGGTCTGAGTAAGGTCGCTGGTATACCGTTTCTGAAAGTCCGCTCTGATACCCGCCTTCAGGTGTGCTGTCAGTGTTGTGTTATCATCAGCGGCCATTGTATGTAGCATCCTGGATGAACAACATGGTAGGCTTGATAGAGCTAATGGTAACGTACGAGTCACCCAATAAAGCGTCGGTGAAATCTTCGAATGGCTGCATGGCTTTATGTACTGATGTTAAGACATCTATATCTTGCCAGGTCAAGACAAGATGGGCAACTTTACAATCTTCTGATAAAACTCGCCAAATGGCTCTCTTGCTCCAAGATTCAATCTATCATTTTGTGGGTAGAACCCCATCGCGTTGGGGATGCCTATATGAGTCAAGATTACAAGATATATGTTCAATTATTAGCTGGACTGATGGGAAATGGCAGATGTCTACATTCTACTCTGCAGAATTTTTGAATTAATGATATTTCGATTTTATTTGTTTGGAGTATCAAGTATGTTTAATGTTTTGTTTTAATATATTTAATTTTTTTCTTTAAAAAGTACATATTATATTATATTTTATTTTGGTAATAAAAGTGTAAACTTTTACGAGAATATTTACCAAAACTAGAGATTTGACTGGGAGTTTCATCTCTAGCTGTGCCTTGCTCAGTTCTCTATGTCTCTTCCAGCTATGGCTGAATGCCGTCACAATATGTTTGTACACTCCAATTGCCTGTGAGATATGGTTAAGAACACAAGCATTATTCTTCAGATATAATGGGTTGATCAACATGTGCACAATCTATAAATTCACCAATGACTGGTTTAAATTCTTGCCTACTCTTTTGATTTGCTATAAAAGTATTTTCCTGAAATGTTTGACCTCATCTAATGATTTTTTCAACTTTCCCACCTTGTTTGCAACCAAAACCTGTTTATCGTATTTCTATGGCTTCCATGTGTGGGATGGTCAAGGGCCATATGTACCTTTTGGCTCTATTGCCATGTCCAAAGTCACATCACCAAAAGAAGAAAAATACTTTGCACTATTGCTTCATTCTACACCCACAAAAGCTAACATTTTCAAGTCATTTGGCAACTCTGAAATGAAACACTTAACATTAACAATCTCACCTTGTTTATGCACATAACAGTATATGCGATGGGCTTCAATTCTGCAGATATCGACTAACAATTTTTACAAGAACTGTCTGACAGGCACACAACTTTTTTCACTACAATTTCGACCAAAAAGAAGATTTTCATTGCTACTAGGTACAGTCTCAGACTCTGCCCAATATTTAAGATGCTTATCAACCAAGCACAAGCAGAATTGTCCTTTCCAAATGGATCCCTGTCGCCACCTAGAGCAATATGAAAAGTATTGGTTTCAGTAAATGTAAGTATTTTGTAATAATCACTGGACAGATAGAATTCTGCCCAGTAGATTAGCAGCTCCTCAAGATCATGATAGCAACTACTTACCTTGTCTTGTCTAAGCCATCACAAAGAGTATCACAAACACAGATCAACTTACCTATGGTACATCAATACTTTTATTGTATACAACCAGCCCATGATATGGAACAAGATGGGGAATGGGGCAGTTATTATTATTACATTTTAAAAATGAACTCTTTCGTAACCAAAACGTTAAATTACAGAAGTTCTTAGCAACATGAAGTTATGACTAAAAAATATTATACTACAACTATGTTACAATAAGAATAGATTGTGATGGCTAAATACTAAAATAACCAGGTTATAATCCTACTATTCTTTTTGAAAATCATTTTGGGAAAAAAGGAATGTTTGAAGCGGTCCGTTTTGCAGACATAATTATTAAATTTACGTGGTAATGTTAAGTCATAATTTGATATATATGGATCTGGAAACAAGTCTCATTTTATCATTATTCATATTTTGTCTAAAGAATTGATCGCAAGGGTTTCACGGCAGTTGTACAGTGTAGTGATACCTGTAATCTTTAATGCCTCACCATAACTTGAAAAGGGGACAATGATCTTTAATGTGTGTTTCTGAATTAGTTAGCAACAGTCATACACACAGCCTTCTTATGAAGTGAATAACTATTGGTGGATGCTCTATAATACACAGACATATATTTTATGTTACCCAATACCCCATTACTATAATAAACTGATCAACATATTTTCTGTGGTGAATTCATTAAGATTTCACTGCCTTTTTGTACACTTTTGGGAACACCTCTTTCAATTTCTTGCATCTACCAACATGCATAGCATCAAAGCATTCATCTTCTTCACACTTTCAATGGTATCAAGTAACCCAATTGTACAAGATTTCTTATCTCCTTTTCTTCCTGCATGTATCTTCTCAACTGCATACTATTTTGACAGAATAAAATAATACAGCAGCAGCTCAGTAAGTTAATGTACCCTTAGCCATAGTATTTAACTCATGCCCAAACACTTCCCTCTTGACAAATAAAATTGTCTGGTGATTAACAGAGTTTAATATCAAATTAATGGGTTAACAAAAGACATGGGCATAGGGTTGGGCGATATTAAAAAAAAATCACCTCACGATTATTGTCAAAGAAATTATTATGATATTCGATAATATCCCAATAAATGCAATAAAAACAACGACCATTTTTTCAATTTTAATTAATATCAAAGCATAGTAAGTTTATATATAATCTTATTAAAAACAAGTAAATTAAAGTAATATGAAGGCTTTTTCTAATCTAATATTTACTGCTCAGAAACCAGAACTGTCTATGTAGTTTCTACTGTTTCTCGGCTGGCACAAATGCCATGGGCACATAGCACAAGCAAAGCCTCCAATTTCATTGCTCAGCAGATTAATACATAAATATTAGCTTTTGTATCGAATGTATCATTTTTAAAACTATATTTTCTATTATTTTCTATATTTTTTAGGATTTTGTAACAGCTTTATACACATGTGAAGCAACATCACAATAGTCATATCGAGCATGACGATAATTTCGATATATTGTTGCTTAAGTTTCTACCTTCAATACGATAATCACAATTGAAAATATCGTTAATGCAACGTCATTATTTAATGTCAGGAGGTTATTATTTTTAATAATGACCTCCAATATTTAAAATAATGACCCCGATTTTTCGCTTGAATAAAAAATAAACCATTGTGCGTTACAACTTTGCTTTAAAGCAAATTTTAATTACACTACAAAAATTTCCATTTTAATTTAACTACAACGTATAAAGTTTTAAAAAACTAGGGCTTATTAACTATTGTAATGTTGCAATTGCCGCCACTAATATTTAAAACAACCGACCCCATTCCATCATCACCCTTCTCTATTGGCGCGCTACTTTCCGCCGTTGCACCCTTCTCTGACGTGATACCTTCTCTGACGTGATACCTTTCGAGACATTTGCATGCTGCTCTCTGTTTCTCGCTTATAACAATCGAGAGCCTCGGAACGATGCCCAGTAACCCCCTTTATCAGCTTATCATCAACGCCTTCACGAAATAACCTCGACACGGCTGTGGCCCGCAATGAATGATTAGTAAAGTGCCCATTTACACCCGCTTTCTCCATTATACACTTAACCATACCTTGTAACTTATTGTGGCCTATTGGGACACTGGAAAACCATATTTGCTTCCTTTCATAGTTTTGCAAGGGTTTCAAATAAAACGCTTTTCTCAAACCCTCTTTAGGGCATCGCGAAATGTAGAGCTTAACAATATTTACAATGCATTTATCCGTACATTCAACATTGGCATATATGCCTTGCCCGTTCGTGGAGCTACTTTTCTATGTTTTAACCCTCCTTGAAACGTTTTAGATACACCCTCGCTGTAAAGCAAATATTCCTTTCCTCTGTTATCACTGTGAAATGAAAAACTACTCATGCTCAAAAGGCCTATGTTCAGAACCTGCTCGCAAGCCAAAATTAAGACCAATTAAGTAAAACACTGTCCGTAGTAAGGATTCCGGATCGTTAATGGCCAAAAAACCCTGCTCCCAAAGGTCACGTTCGACCTCAACAGGGATTACTTCAGCTTGCTTTGGCCTTATACCCACATTATTTTGAGCCGAACATTTCATTTCAACATCTAACGACTTTCCGACTTTTTCAAATTCTAAGCTCGAAAAAAAGTTAACACTTCGCCCTTTTAACTGTAGGTATTTTTGCAAACTACTGATTATTTCATACAGTGTTTTTCCAGGATACCTTTCTCCACCGTCTTTTCTTACTTCTGCGATGAACTGATGTAATACTTCGTTGAGGTCAACTTCTGGCATCATATGTATTTCTGACTTGTAAACCAAGAGAATTTTATCAACCAAACGCATTTCCCTTCCATCTTGAGAGATCTCCTGGCACCATTGTGACCAAGCGTCGAACATTCTGTATGCCCACATCGCTTTCCTCTTAGTATTTTCTGGAATGCTTCGCGAAGCCAACTCTATCATACTTTTACTGCTGCAAATCTCAAACCGACGTATTCTGTTGCTCTATTGCAAAATATAAATAAATTCAAATATTAATCATCGCTATGATTAATGCTTGTTACTAACTTTTAAACAAAACTTAGCTAAGACAATTTTCACCTTTTCTATCCAACGTGCTTTTCCCAGGTGCATTACATCGCCGCTCACTGACACTGTCTATCTGATTTGGCCTTTCCAGTGAAATTCTCCGCTCTGCAAACAAATCCAATGACTGGGAAAGTATTCCATCCAGCCCATCGTCTTCCAAATCTAGACAGTCGCAATCCCAATCATTGGTCTTTTCAACTTCAAATTCATGGTCATATCCTTCTCCAAACAAACTAAAATCTCGCTTTCTCGAACCAGACATCCTCACTCCACAAATATCAATCAAGTAATAAAAAGGTAGCTGTTGAAAAAACACAGCCCAGGAATGCACATAGAAAACACAAATATGGTGTGAAAAATAATAGTACCACAACAATGAACTTGTAACTATCTTAATAGTTTTCTTTGTTCATAAACACCATAATGTGCATTAAGTCGGATAATACCCTCGCTCTCGGTATTATTAAAAATGACCTCGGTCATTATTTTTAATAATACCTCGAGCTTGGGCATTATCCTATACAGAGAAGAGTAAAATAACATAGTAAAGGTTAATGTGTTAACATGCTTATAACTAATATGATTGCTTGTGGGGGGTTTGCATGACATGTGGAAACATTTGAATTTTGCATTCCTCCAGGCATCTTAACAGATCACACATTTTGGATTGATCCCAGTAGATGGTTAACGGTCGAATCCAGTTGCTAGCACAACAGAATTTGTAATAGCAAAAGGCCACAGTCCGAGGTTCCTCTTTGTCATTGTTGTAGCACCACTGTGACGTGGAGAGAACCACATCATTGCTCATATGCGAACTGCCTCTTAAGCAACTTGTTGACTGTTGAATACAGGCTTTGGTAGACTACTACTTTTCCTGATATAGAGGTGGATGTTACTAATGTCCCAGGATTTTCGCCCCCCCCTACATTTTCGCCCCCCGGGGGGGCATTTAAGGCACTAATAAAATCAAAGTATTATGAAATTATTTGAATAAACCACACCACATATATAATGCAATTTTCTTTGCGGAAGTCAAGAATCAAGATTACATCACTAACACTGACATGGAAAGTTGATGATTCAACGGACAATAGTCAATACGCTTCCCAACACATTCCATAGATTTTTTATTAATCCTATAGTTTATTGTTAGCAAGTGATTAGTACACTAATTACTGTGGCGGCTATTGTTAACACTGGTATTGATAAAATCTGCAAGCGATTGTTTTTATAATATGTTATGTGACGTAAACTGCCAGAAGAATACGACAACATGATTTTATGCGATCTCTGTGGGCAATGGTTCCACTTTAGATGTGTAGAATATGACACTAGTTAAGTACCTCAAATGAGCGGCTGTGCAGTGTGCACACTACCAGCTGCTAAGAAGCCTAAAATGTGTATGTAATTTTATCTCCTTGTAATAAATAAATAAATCACACAATAAATCTTTTCAACTTGCAATCGTTTTGTTTTTAGATCAAAAACTCAAAATTTATATGGGGGGGGGTGAAATTCCTAAAGGGGGGCGATATTCCTAGGAGATTCGCCCCCCTGGGGGCGATATTCCTAGGAGATTCGCCCCGGGGGGGGCGAATATCCTAGGAATATCGCCCCCCTTTTGAGAGGGGGGGCGAATCTCCTGGGGGGGGGCGAATCTCCTGTAACACCTAGTGAACACCAATATTGTGGCACTGAATGGCGTGGTGAAACATGACAGACTGCCAGTTAAGACCACTAACTCCTGTTCCCAGTTCTTTTATAAGGTGTTGGGCTGCATCAATGTGTTTGTCTGTCAAACATTAGCCTTTGTGGCAGGCTCATTGAAAGGAGAGCCTGCAACAATCTCAAGGAAATTTGATCACTGCCCACTAATTACTATGATAATTTATTTCCAATCCAACCAATCATATTTTCTGAAATTTTATGTGCAAGATGCAGTGTGAGTAATAACTAATGTACTTTATTACTGTTGTAGTTCATACAGAGCAGCTCAAGAATTCAAACTTTTAAAAAATTGGCAATTTAAATTACTCTTTGGAGTAAATAAATCGGAATTTACACCGGCGACATCGGTTTGGTACATTAGTATGTGATACAAATCACTAGAACAAAACATTTTGACTTGATAACAGTTTAAATGCCATTACTCAACACAGACTATTTATATCTTTTGCGCAATAATTTACGTATTAATAATGACGGCAAATCAAAAATATTTATATCAAAAGAAACACAATACCATCCTAATAGGTCCAAACATTACAATAAATTTTAAAATCAAACATAATATGACCAGCTATGAATGAATATATGTTTTAAAATTGCAACGCCGGAACAATATAAACATTTACAAATTGACAATAACAAAGTCAGTCTAAAAAAATAGGTACGCTAGGCATACATGTATCTGCGCAAAGGAATTCCATGGTTGCTTTATAAAAATTTCATTCACAATTATTGAGTAAACATTTCTATTTCGAAGTGCTATTTAGTAAACTGCTGGCTATATAGTGACTAAAAAAAGTTAAGTCAGACAAAACACAACTTGACCAGGACATACAATCTGTAAAGAAATTTTATTAACTTTAACTCAGCTTATGAAGCAATCCTAAAATCCTAAGATATCCTGTGGCTAATGCACCATATACCAACAAAAGTTTAACGTAACATAATATTTCTGAATGCTGTGACTATATATAAAATGTACCATATATAAACAACATTTTGACATCCCATATAGCTAGTATACATTAATTATGAATAGACAATCAATATTTTTAAAAAGCATGCACGATTACTCGTGAAAAAGCTTTACGATGTTACTTTGGGCAATCTTCTAGGATATAAAAAAAAGTTTTTTATTGGAGAATTTTGACTTATATATACATACCCAGAGCAAAATAAATACCTCGTCACTGTAGAAACCTGCCATCTTTGTTTTATGGCCTGTTCGCAGGCGTACATCCCTAATTAGTCGACCCGAGTGTTTAACAACATGCACACACAACTCCATAGCATAGTATCTAGCACTCCACACAGACACAAATATATCACAAGCTAAATTGCACTGTAGTAAGTCTGCTTTAAAATTCATAATAACATATAAAAGCAATGTTTGTAGATCAAATGTTTCATAAATACATAAAGTGACATGCATTCTAAACTTTAATAGGATACATAATTTGTCAATCAGTATTACAAATTGATTAGGTATTAAGCTACTGTATTATTTAGAGAAATACCTACATGTGCATTGGTTTGTATCCATGCTCTTCGACTTGTCAAGGCAGATATCCAATGGGAAACAAGCCAAAACATCTCACCGATTTGCAGCTGTTCAGTTTTTAGTTTAAAACCCAAATTCACAGTACTCTTTCAAAAATATATGCTTGTATTGAAAGCATATAAACATTGTGCCACAGACAGTTCTACAATTTATGTGTATTTTGGCATATATTATTTAAGCCAACAGGATTTTCGCATGCTCTCATGGCCCCAAAATACCGAATTTCCTTGAGATTGTTTCAGACTTGCAGGCTCATATTCAATGAGCCTGCATCAAACATGCACAGGAGAATGTTCCTCAATTTGTAGGTGAATTTCATACCATTGATCATCATCCATGTATCACTTGATCCATTGCCATTCTTGTCTACTTCCTCTTTTCTTCTTGCCAGCATCTTTGGAACTTTTCACCTTGGATAGAATTCTTTTGCCGACTTCTCTGATGACCATTTTTGCATTTCAAGAATCGGCCATTGATCCAATGCCCTTCATAAGTGATTTTTGCTAACTTAGATGTTTTTACAGCGCTTTTCTTTGGCAATAAGAATTTGTCCTCCAACGCAATTCCATTTTCTTTGGGACTATGTTTCCTTGCATAAGCAAGAACTTCTTGAATCTTTTAGAGGGTTTTCTTCAACACATCTTTATCTGTTAGCAGATATAACTTGTCATGGAGGGATTTCACTTCTTGAATGCACTGTCTC